GCTGCCATGGAGAAACAGTATGCCACCATGCTGTCCTTCCGGATCTCCAGGTTCGACCCCAAGATGATGATGGATGATGAGGAGATCCAGATGGGCTTGAGAGGACCCTCGACGGTCATCGCGGAGGAGAACCCGCGATACACAGACCCCGACACCGTCTGTGTGATAGACGCGAAAAGTGTCTACGACAGCACGGCCAATCCAGAGCGCCAGTTTCAAGGAGAGGATGATCGAGCGGCGCTAGAATCCGCCATCATCCAAGAGAGCTTGGCAAAGCTGAAGGCCAGACTTCGTTGGTTGCCCCACAACCTGAACCCGAGCGACGGCCTCACGAAGCTCCCAAGCGCTGCGCACATGGCTCCGCTCTACGACCTCCTCAAGAACCACGAGATGGTCATCCAGAAGGAGGAGACCGAGTTGGCGAGCGGACGACAGGGAGACCGTCGGCTGAAGGTGCACGCGGCATGGGTCTCACCACTTTCGACCCACAGAACTTTGAGAGGCTGTGGAAGTCACTTTGCAGTCTAGCAGTGTAAAGGACATGCCTGGTTGACCGCAGGCCTTGAGTATGGCTCACGAGAAAAGGGCGGTTAGGCGCTCTAGGGCCCTCCACTGAAACAGATGCAATTTGCACCAGTTTCAGTGCGTTTTGTTTGTGGCTCGTCATCTTGAGACGCAGCATGGATTGGTTTGCAATCCTATGGCCCACCGAGCGGGCGATCCACCGACCGTCCTCGGCCCAAGGTCTACCGCCTCGGCCGCTTGACCGTGTCCGAGGCATCTTCCAGGCCGCAAACGACGGGTGCGGTGTGGCGCATCGATGGAAACGAGGGCTGGGTAGTTAGTAGGAGAATGTGTCTTTCTGGTACTCACGGGTAATTATGGGCAATTGCCCTCCACTTCCAAGATGTTAATATTGGACTAGTTTATGATATGTTATAAGAAGTAATTATGTAAATCCATCAATAAGGAACCCCTCCTGCAATACTAACCGCCTATCAAATAACCTTCTAGCCAATTTTTCAACAGTTGGTACCCGATAAGGCCCCTCAGGTGGTAATGTTCTTTCTAAAAGCAATGTTTTTCACGTTCTTCATCCGCTTAATGTTTGCCTATATAATTCCGGCCATGTCAATCAATTGACTCAGTGACATTGTTTCTCCTCATGAAGAGATTTAGTCTTTGGAAGTCCTCCCTCATGATATCTCATGATGGACCTCCAAGAAATATGTTTTCCACATTATGTAACCTTCTGACTTTTGGTGGGGAGGGTGTATTGATCATGGGTTTGATTGGGTTTGCATAAGGCGCTATTCCATTCCTTTGTGCCGGCTGTTGACCGACTTCACACGAGCCTCGAACAGATGTTGCCAAGAAGATCACTCAGCTCATACCTACTGAGTGGGACCATGAATCGGGGGCACAAGTTCATAAAGCCACGGCGTTCGGCCAAAATTTACGCTGTTCAACAAAAGCTCCTCGAAACCCTTTGTTGATATATGATATATAAGTTGAAACATGTTGAAACCAGTGAAGCTTTGGTGCCTAAGAGTTGGATATGCTAGGCCTGTCGCCGTCACGGTGAACATCACCTTGGCAAACACGGGCCAAGGCGTTTGGCCCGAGCCCCAGACTTCAACAGCATGACTAGTAGCTAGAAGCTACTAGTAACAAGGACATCGCTACTAGTAACAGGGGCATTACTACTAGTAGCACGAAAATACGAAAATACTAGTAGCGATGCACTTGTTACTATATATACTACTGACTAGTAACTTAGGACTTGTCGGACATACACGCCAATTCCAAAAGCCTATGTCATCAGGATTGATCCAACATTGGCATTTCCTCTTAAGGCCTATGTCATCAGGCCACAACCATGATATTCATAGAAATATGTATGAGGTATTCAAGGAAGCAACACATAGTCGCACCCTATGTCACCACTGTGTCACCAGGGTACCAGGCAGTGGTATCTAGCATTATTTAGCTGTTTTTTACATTTTTTGTCGAGGAGGTGTCCACAGGTCCTATGACACCAGGTTTCCCAACCCAGACATTTTTTTTGCTCGATATGTCAGGGCACATGACTTAGCCCTGGGGGTAGCCAGATTGGTATGTCACTTGCGTCACGTTGGCCTAAGTCATTAGACAGTAGTATAGTAGGTTCTTGCTACTAGTAGTAATGCCTTGTTACTAAACCCATGGATGGAGTGAAGTCTCCAGAATTTCAACAAAGGCCTGCCAGAACAGCCTTGCAAATCGCTCACGGCTCGGATATGGGGGTCAACACCTTACTGCTTGGCAGGGCTCCTTGCTTGCACTTGATGGCTTTCTTCAGGGCAGCTGTGAGAAAAACCACATGAGACCCGGGGGGCTGATTCCATTGAAGATTGCTCACGGTATGCAAGCAGGAATGGCGCATGCTGGTTTCTTGTAGTTGCTGACTGTTGGCTTGTTTGCACTTGTCAATGCTGAAAGGTGATAGAGCCTGGAATGGAGCAGCAGGTGTCCTTGCACTTGAAAGTGCCACGGACCAAACAGGCCTACCTTTTCGGATGCAGTGTATGCTATGCCCCCAAAATTATCAGGGATCTCGGAAACTTAGTAATTATCTACAAATGGGTCGCTTGAGGCTGCAGCCTCTTAGCTTTTGAGCACAAAATGCGTGTTTTATGAGCAATCCAGGTCGTTCCAATTCATTGTTTGTTGTCTTGTCTCAGGCCGACTCACCGACATGCATTTGGGCACTCAGTCTCCTGGATTTGCTCAGTGAGTGCATCTCATTTGTGCGCCCTTGGTGTGCGCCCCTGTTTCTGGTTTACGCACTATGTCGATTCGATATGATTCGATGCTTGCATATCGCCATTCTTGCAAGCTTTCACATATGTCCTATATACCCTGGGTAGTGCGTTCATGTGACACCGTATGCATGCTCATGCTCGTTTACTAGCCGGGCATGAATCACTCGTCATGCCAGGTGACAAGTCCTTATTAGAACCCCCCGACAGGAAGCCCAGGCAGCGTCCGCAAGGCTTGCTTCAAGGTCGTTTCCAAGCTGGCTTATTTGCATATGTTGGGATTGTTGGGTCTGTCCTATTACCTGCAACAGTCGGTAAACAGTTATCACTATTTTGGAAGAAGGCCTGTTGCTGGCACTGGTAATAGGATAATTACACCCAGTGCATATTATGTTTGTCTCATACGAATGAGGAAGGCTCCTCCGTGCTCTTTGTCGCCCCTTTTCTTTTCCGCCGGGAATCTCCGATCCTAATCCGCAACGAGGGCCGATTCCCAAACCCCATCGACCGAAGAAGCACTGAATCACCGAATTAGCTCCCGCGGCTTTCCAAGTGGGCCCAGCACCAAGGCTTAGATGGACATGTCTTCGGCGTTTTGCTCCTCTTAGAGATTGACTGGATCGAAAGCCATGGCTCCGGACTCCTGGAACAGGCCAATTGAAAGGGGTATGGCTCGTGTTCTTTCTGGAAGGGGCGCGCTGGATGTCAATCCGGGGCTGGGCTTTTTGGCACTCGAAAAGAACAATAAAACATCATTGCACTCCAGAGGCATTTTTGGCACTTTGAAGACATCATGAACTATTGTTGCGTGGCGTTTAGTTTGCCATTGCTAGTTGTTCACAGGCGGTGCTTTTACCAAAGACCGTGCCACCAAAGAAAAGCACGCTCAAACATGTGGCCGAACATTCGGTATCCTTTTGCTGCGGTGCCCGGATTGCTGCTGAAACGGCCAGGCCTCCGATATTCTTCAGTCGGCCAGGGCTCATGTCCATCACGTCCGGCTGCAGCTGCACCACGAGGCACTGGAGGTCTTGGGTGTCAGGCGCTGCCCCGGGCAGCGGAGATCACATGAAGTTGCCACCTTAAGCATTCGGCTTCCCAGCCTTTTCTGGCCTAGACCATCCTAGAGTGATTTTGGTGGGTGGGCTACATTGTAGCTATCCTGCCGCGGGATGTTGCCTTTTCTCCTAGGAGTGCCTTGATGCGCCTTTGTCTAGATCGGCGTGTGTTTGCTCTCCAGGCTTTGAACCAAGATGCCACCCAAGCTGGTGACGTGACAGAGGCCTGAGTGGCGGGTTTGTGCACCTCATCTATGGTCCATAGTCATCCTTTGTTCCGTTTCTTTTTGTCCAGCCGGTTGCGATTGGTGGTCAGGGCATACTTTTGTTCCCATGAGTTGGAGGAGGTTAGAAGAAACAGACCCTCGGGCGCTATGAGAGCGCTAGTTTTGCTTCCATGTGCAAGGAATGGTCTGCCGACCTCCGTGGAACCAGCATGACCGAGGTGCGCCAGACGGCAACAGCATCCAGAAGGGCTCAACGACCAGCATACACAACTTATGGGAATGATCAGTGGTGAAGCAAGTTGAAAACAAGGCCTTTCATGCATTTGCATCTGTAAGTCGGTCCACCCCTAGTCCAAGTGAGAGGAGTGAGTTAGAGACACGAAGGGCGCCCGTGGCATCCTGTGGCCGCGATGCGCCGGATGCGCCGTCAACTGACGAAGTGGAGATGGGGTAGCCGCTGGATGTTGATGTTTTCATGTGTGTATATGTGTGTTCCTATTGTTTTCCTATGAGTCGGCAGTGGGCAGTGAGTCCTTTTGCAAGGCCTACAGGCTTGGAAGCCTTTGGGTGGCCCCCAGCCAAGCTGGGGATGTGGGGCACCTGGAAGTCTTCGTGTCATTGGAGTCTGAGCCCAAGCTTGTGCACAGTTGGTTTGAGAACATGTGGTCCTAATGCTTGGACTCAGGTATCCTTGACCTTGTAAGTTGCTATGAAAAGCTGTTAGCAATGTAAGCATGACATGAGTTGGAGTTGTCATGACAAAAGCCTTCAGTGTCGTGTAACAGGAGTTTCGCGGCCTAGATGGTTCAATAGCAGACCTGGCAAGAGGGTGCGAAAGTCCTTTACTTGCATACCTAAACCATCTTAATCCCACAAGTGTGGCTGGAAGATGTTCAAAGCACAGCCCGGATTTACAAAGTCCTGATTTGCCCCCGTCAACGCAATAACTCCTCAGTGAGCTCGCTGCGTCGCGCACAAAGATTGCCGACCATGCTGGAAAGATGCTCCAAAGCGACCATATTGACTCTCGCACTGCTGTCTACCTCAATGATTATGATACAGCGGAACTGCTTGGAGAGAGACCCTCAAGCCAGACCTACTTCATCTGCCTCCCCTCAGCCTCCACAAGAGCAGCAGGCCGACAGACCCAGGCCCCTTCAGAACTCTCCGGCCGTGGCCGAGGTGTCATGGACAAAGACCTGTCTCTTTACCATCTCTGCCTTCAACAACTATGGTTTCGTGAAGTCCTTCCTGGATCGGGCCGAAGCCCTCAATCCAGACATCGATTGCTTTATTTGGGTTGTGGCAGACAATCGCTATGTGTGGACGACGGGTGGAGATCCCACCCTGCCGGGCCAGATTCTGGATGACTTCCCCAAGAAGTGGCAACTGGTTTTGGTGGAGCAGCTCCAGCCCTACATGAATTTCAGTTTTATGGAGCTTGCCTTTCGCTATGACATGACCTGTTTCAATACAGCCATCAAACCTCCCGCCTTCAAGTATATCTTTGATCGCTACAATGCGAGCAAAGTATTGTACTTTGACAATGACATATGGATCATGCAACCCCTGACGCAGATTGTGAGCGCGTTGGAGAAGTACAGCCTTGTAATCACTCCACACATTACCGAAGAGATCCCCCTTGATGGTTTGCGTCAAGATGAGCGTCAGATCATGTTGGCCGGGCAATTCAACTTCGGTTTTGTAGCTGCAAGCCGCAGCAAAAGTGCCTTCAAGTTCTTTGACTGGTGGGGGCAACGCCTTCGCCTCTATGGATATGCCGAGCCCAGCAAAGGGATGCATTTTGACCAGAACTGGGCGGATTTGATTGTGTCCTACTACCCGCAGGAGGAGTATTTCATTCTGCGAGATCCACGCTACAACATTGCCTACTGGAATTTGCACTACCGGGGTGCCCACCTTTACATGGAGAACGGACGGGTGATGTATGACTCTGAGCCAGCGGTTTTTATGCATTTTTCTGGCATGTCCAGCCTTCTTGACTATGACATTGAAACCATCTCGAGGCACCAGAACCGGTTCAAGATGGTGCAATTCCCAAACCTACGCCCTATCTTCGAGAAGTACCTTGAGATGTTGAAGGCTGAAGATGCTATGCGCTGGCGCCATGTGCCATATGGATTTGGCATGTTCAAGGACGGAACGCCCATTCCATACGTCGTTCGCACCTACTTTGCCGAGATCTTAGACCCCGTCAATGCTGGCCAGGAGGCTTCGCGCTTATTCCACGAAGTCGTGGCCTTTGAGGACCCCTTCAGTGTAGATGTCACTCCCAAGGTCTCTCTTCTATCTTGGATGTTGCAGGGCGTCCATCACTTGACGGTGGAGGCCAGTGCTCCGTACTGGGTCCCCGAGATCGCCTGGCAATTCCACCGAGCCAGGCCAGATCTGATGGCGGCCTTCCCCGATCCCTTGGACCGTCACTGGGAGAGCTACCAGGCCTGGTTTCGGGTCCACGGCGTGCTCACGACCCAGTTCGTGGAGGCCGAGCGCAAACGGAGAAAGAAGAAGTTCAAGGGCTTCTTGGCAATTGGATCGTACATGATCGTACTGTTGATGATCGTACCCGACGTCCCAAATTCAACCCCATAACACCCACGCAGGCCCTATCAATCCACCAGCTGCGGTGTTGTCAACAGTCCGGAATCCATGGCCCCAGCTATTTTTTACATGTCCTATATGTCCTCGACACTTCCTCCTGCCCTAAGATTTTCTGGGATGAGTTCGATAAGTTCACTTTCCAAGGTTTGCCTATGGGTGTGAACGTCTACTGCGCCCTCACCACCGACAGTGTCCTCGCCGACGTGGGCCATGCTGTCCTGGTGGCCATGGAGTCTGCAGATCTGCCTACAGCGGCAGTGCTGTTGCCAGGTCCTAGGGAGCGGAAGACGACAGTGAAAACCACACGTGCCTAGGGCTGAAGCACGAGTTGTGTTGTTTCGGGTGTGTGGATGATGTGTGTGTGGGTTTTCTGTTTGCGGAGAGGGGTAGTTTTGTTGGTTCATAGGGTGTTGTTGTCTTCTGTATGTAGTTGAATTATATAATATAGTTGAACATATATTTATATATACATATTTTTAGCGTGGCCCCCACACAGACATACATGCAGTGCTGCAGAGGTGTAATGTACTGTAATTTAAAACTATAAATATATATATATATATTTGCATACGGATACATAATTAGGCACGCACACACTCACACACATAAACCTTACAAAAGAGTTTCACCCTCGTTTCCACTACAGGGAGCCTTGAGAAAGGAGAGGCAGGTGATCCTGACAGCATGAACAGCCAAAGGCGGCGCTTTTGGGAGTTATAATAGAAGACGTGGGAGGCGTTGGCTGTTCACAAAGGCATTGGAGTTGATTTCACAACATACACAGAGATAGCAGCACGCTGCCCTGTTCAAGTTTGACTTGAGAAGATAAGGTCAGGAATCAATCTCACCTCCAACTCCTTGACAACAATAACAATGTTTTTGTGCTTTGTGGGATCAGGTGATTCCCTTTTGATCGTCCACCATTCTCCTGTAGGACTTCCATGTTTGCACTTGGGATCAATTGAAACTCGCTTGACTTCTGCGTTTGTGCTTTAGTTTTGTTCCTGTTGCTTTGTTTACGGTAGCTTTGGTTGGTTTGGACTGGCAGCCTTTCGTGGGTGTGTGTTAGTTTATGTCAGGCATACTGCGTGCACATGTCTTCATTGGAGACCATATGCCACGTGTTGCTAAACGGGCGTGTGAATGTGTGAAGACAACTGACTTTGTTGGCGCCAAGCAAGGCATTCCGACATATGATGTCAACCTGTTTGTGGCCAGCGCCGGGGATACAGATGCCATCGTCAAGTCGTATCCAAGCAGGGAATGGAAGAAACACCGCAACATCGCATACTGGGCTGAGGAACTGGATGTTTTTCCCAGTGACTGGCTGCAACACATGAATCACTTCGATGAAATTTGGACGGCATCAGACTTCGTCACAATGTCCATCCGGAACTCACCAGCGAATGCTGGAACACCAGTCGTGACAATGCCCTTGGGCATAGATATAGATTTGTCGATATATGCCAAGGCTAGGGGGCGTTTCAAAATTCCAGAAGGCACTCTTGTGTTCCTGGTGATGTTCAACAGCGCTCATCAGCTTCGAAACCCCTTGGCGGTGCTAGCTGCCTTTCGGGCGTTTCAGGCTGATTCAGGCTCTTCCAACGTTCTTCTGGTGATGAAGTGTGTGCGGCCTGAAGGGGATGTAACGGAATTCCAGCAGCTGGAACGGGAGGTGAATCGAACAAACAATGCTTTGCTGATGACCGATGCCCTGAGCCGGCAAGAGCTATGCAGTTTGATGGCCTCAGTGGATGTCTTTGTGTCACTGCACACATCTGCTAGTTCTGGGCTGGCTTTATTGCAGATGCTGATGCTGGGAAAGCCGGTGATTGGAGCATCATCAAGTAGCACTTCTGACTTCATGTCCTTGATTCCCGAGGAGCTGCAGTTTCTGCAGATTCCACAAGACCTTGACCAAGTTGATGCCTCTCAGCCATCTAGCAAGGACATCCAGATGGTTGCTGAAGCAATGAGCAAACTTATGGCAGACAGGAGTCTCTTCGACAAAGCACGACGTGTGCTTGGGTCACTCTTTCGCAGGCAGTTTGATCACAAAAGCCTTGGGAAAAGGCTGAGTTCCCGCCTCGGAGATGTTAAGAGAAAATCATGAGCCTTTGGTAGCGACTCTTTGAGGAAGAGAACTGGTGACGTAAATCGCACAAATATGCATCACAATGCAGAATAGATTCGGTCACATGACAGGCCGCGGTCAAGTAAAAAAAAGAGAGCTGATTCAAATATCAGACTTGCGCACGCGTGTTTCTTCATTGTTGAAGCGAAACACGCTCAACTCTTGCCTTGCCTTCCCTCACCTCATGTCTCCATTCCAGGCGGAAAAACGCCATCAGTCTATATAACATATATAACTCAATCTCTCACTTGCGATCCTGCCCTTTTTTGGGGGGAACGAGACTTGATCCTCCCAGGAATCCGGGTCAAGATCCCTGGCCCAACGAGACCCAGATTCAGCTGGTGAGCGGCCGTTCCTTTGGCGTCGAATCCCTGGAGGTGGACCCAGCAACCTGGGTGCAGTTCAGCCGTCTCGACTCGGTTCAAGATGGGGTAACATGAACTTGAATGTGAAGAGGAGCATGAAGAACTGTGAAGAGCAACACATTCGTGTGGTTTTTTTGTATGTGTCCTTTTGGGTGAAGCTGATGGTGGAAATATTACGGACAGAATGTATTTGGTTTTGTGGGGCACTCAGTGGCAGAGGAAATCGCACATTGTGCTGATAAATAATCTAATGGGGACTTGAGCCTCCTTGCGACAAACATTTTAAATCGGCGGCTGCTGTCGGACATCGAACCCGTTCTGGCGTGATAAGCGTGGACAATGAGGAAGGACAGGCTTTGGACACCATGCCATACACAATGAATGGAATCTTTAGTGGCTTGCATTTTGAGAAATCTTGAGGCCCTATCATGGGCATGTAAAGAGTTCTGAGTGGCCCGTCGACACCTGCAGCATATGCCAGTAGTTTTGCCCGCCGTGCCCATACACTCAGGTAAATCCTGGGCCCTTTCCTCAGGTAAAGAGCCTTCAAACCAAGCTCAGGAAGCCCCAGCCACGAAAGTGCAGAGATGGGAGGTGTGGGCATCAAACCTGCCAAGCCATGATGAGAGCTCGTGTTCAGATTGAATCAACAATTGCATTCTTTGATTTGACCCTGAAGCCTTTGAGGTCGCAGGTGGAAATTGTCATGCCCCTCGACATTCCCCTGGACCCAGCTTGGGCCTTGGCACGTCGTCACGTTGGTATGAATTTTAGCTTGTGGGAGGGTTCGAATGAGTTTCGCCACTCGTGGTGCTTAGGCTGCAGATGTTCGCAACGTCGTGGAAGAAAGTGCCCTTGGCTCAGTTCCAGGATGTTCCAGGCCTCCAGAATCTCTACAATCAAAGTGCGGAATGGGTTCCTCCAAGATGTGATTCTTGCCCCATCAAATTGCAATTGCTGGAACATCGGGTGCATCCTGAAATAGAATTGATTTACAATTGCGCTGCTGTGAGCGACTAGCTCTGAAGGCCTTCCACCTCAGTTGAGGTTTGGGCCCTCGCCGTGGCCGGGCACACCTTCGGCCCTTTGCTGGTCTTGGAGCTCCGTTACACTCACACAACCAAAGTGATTTAAAATTATAAATAGATAATTCAAATTATAATCATATCTTGGATATATTATCATAAATTACCGCAGATTATTCAACAAAATTATATACTATATATTTAATACTATTATCATTACTATTAATATATATATATATGATTATTTTTTTGTCATTATGTATTATTGTTTTATGTAATTCATATTTTAATGATATAACATAAATGAAATTTGTCTAAAGCCGTCGAAATAAAAAAATGATTTGTCGGTAGGTACTATATTGAATATCTATTGAATATAAATAAAGAAATTCTAAAATCGATATCTTTATAATATATATATATATATTAGTATTCATATTGTTTAATTTATATTGATTAATATTTTTTTTCCCGAATGCGTAGCGAAGGGTTTCCGTTTATAGTTGGGGATCTGGGGGTTGGAGCTGTGTTTGCATGGGTTGTGTCGTCTCTCGTCGTCGTCGCGTCTTAAATTTGCTGTTATTGGGGGAAGTTTTTGCAAATGATTTTGCATGGACGTGTTACGTGTTAGTTTGCGCCGCTATTCTATTGTGACCTGCAGGACCAGAACATGTCGCGCGAGAAACGTGATGCGTTTCGCTGCCTAGGCGCAGCGTTTTATGAGATCGGCAGATTGCTGCGCAGTTCCATTGGGATTAGCGTTTGGAGAGTCGTATTTTTGGGGTGTTGGATGTGGCCGTGCCATTGGGATTTGCGTTTTAGGGTGTGGTATCGAAGCTCGGTTTTCGTGACAAGTCTCAGCTGAAATGGCGATTTTGGTGGATGGGAGTGTGTTCAGAACGGGCCGAAATCATTCCAAACGTGTGGTGTGGTGCAAATTTTGTTGAAGCTCACATGAGATGATATTGTCACTTTTCGTGGCAGGCGCAGGACTTTGTGCGTGCTTTGAGGTGTGGAAGTGTGATTTTCGTGGCAGGCGCAGGGAATCGTGAGGTTTTGAGTTGTGGTAGAGGTGAATGTCGTTGTCCCATTGGGATTGGCGTGTGAGTGGATGTTGTTTGGAGGGGCTGGATTCGCGAAACGCCGCGAAACTGCTTGGCAGGGCTGCGTGATGGGTGTTTCCGCTTGACTTTTGGAGGAAGTTTCGTACGAAACGTTCGTTTTGCAGACTTTGACGTGTGAGTTTTTGATGAAGTCTCGTGCGAAACGCTCGTTTTGGAGACTTGACGCGCAACCCTCTGCGGAGATCGTGCGTGTCGAGTGTGCGAAATGCAGGCGAGAGTGCGATTTGTCCCATGCGCGCGCAACCCTCTGCGGAGATCGTGCGTGTCGAGTGCGCGAAATGCAGGCGAGAGTGCGATTTGTCCGGTGCCCACGCAAGCCTCTGCGGAGATCGTGCGCGTCGAGCGCGCGAAATGCAGGCGAGCACTGGCGACTTTGTAGTACAA